TTAAGTAATGTAATGATGTAATGTACTTTGGACATGAGACATGTCAAACTCAAAAAATAGTTTATTTTACTTCAGTAAAGATTTAATGAAAATCTCAACTTTACATGTTCTCCAACTTTTAAAAACTTCATGTTTTGGGGGTAACAAATTATCCGAGTCAGCATTTTGTTGTAATACTGTTTTAATTTTTAAAACACTTCATCTGTTCCAGCATTATAAAGTATGTCCGTTTGTCCATCCGTTTTCTGCCGCTTATCCTGGGTCAGGTCGCAGGGGCAGCAGAGAGACCCAGACTTCCCTCTCCCCAGCCACTTGGTCCAGCTCATCTGGGGGAATCCCAAGGTGTTCTCAGGCCAGCTGAGAAACATAGTCCCTCCAGTGTGTCCTGGATCTACCTCTGGGCCTCCTCCCAGTAGGACGTGCCCGGAACACCTCACCAAAGAGGTGTCCAGGAGGCATCCTAACCAGATGCCCGAGCCACCTCAACTGGCTTCTCTCGACGTGGAGGAGCAGCGGCTCTACTCTGAGTCCCTCCCGGATGACCGAGCTTCTCACCCTATGGGAGAGCCCAGACACCCTGTGAATGAAACTCATTTCGGCCACTTGTATCCGTGCTCTCGTTCTTTCAGTCACTACCCAAAGTTCATGACCATAGTTGAGGGTAGGAATGTACACCGACTGGTAAATAGGGTTGGGCATAATCGTATCGTGTGCAATTAATCATCAGAAAAACATTAATCGATTACTTTTTGACACTTGATGATTAATACGATTAATGCCACCAGGCAGATTGACTGGGGATAACTCCGGTCAGTCTGCTCGGTGCTCCTCTCTGCTTCAAATATGACGAACATTGAAAATAAAGTTCTTTAATTTATTTATCTATCAACACAATTTTACACATGATGTATAGCCTGAACTGTAATTTTCACACAATTTGGAACAATTTTTTATAAAGAGCAAATCTTTCCCACTAAATTGGTCATGTGAATACGAAATAAGGGTGTCCATGTACTCCAGGGGGTTAATCGTCAAATTAATCGTTATCGACTAAATACCACAATTAATCGTGATTAATTTTTTTGCCAATATCGCCCAACTCTACTGGTAAATCGAGAGCTTCGCCTTCTGGCTCAGCTCTCGCTTCACCACGACAGACCGGTGCAGCGCCCACATCACTGCAGACGCAGCACCAATCCGCCTGTCGATCTCCCGCTCCATTCTTCCATCATTCATGAACATTCTTCCCTATAAAGTACATTTAAGCAACTATTTAATGTAATGCGGTGAGTTTGATGTGACCTCTTGTTTAAGATCTCATAGCTTTTAGCTCCATGTTCAAACTGTTTAGACTGTAGGCCTGCCCACAGACGTGGGACAAAGCAGACTACTTGTTTGAGGTGCCAGCATACCCTCATGTGCCCCCCACCCCGACTCCTGCCTCATTACCAAAACACATTTTATACTGTATCATCCCTTCCTCCTGTTTCCTCCAGCTTGTCTGTTTGTTTCCTTTTGCTGCGTTTCTCATTTGAACACTCCTCCCGTTTCCTTGACATGGCAGCCAGCTGGAATTTCGAGGCCCGTACCCCACCCCCCCCACCCCCCACCATCAAGAATTCATAGACCCTGGTGAACAGACGTGTAAAGCCGTGAGAAAAGGCAGCGGCACAACGACTCTCCCATCACTCCCTCTCGTCCTTTCTCTCGTTTTCTGTCTCCTTTCATCTTTCCTCTTTGTGTCGCCCGCTCGTCCTCGCTTACCTCATCTTTCTTTCACCTCGCGTTTCCCCCCTATTCAGGCTGCTTTCATCTCTCTATCACCCCCTCTGTCAAATGTGGCAATTTTCTCCCGTCCCGACAGGCATGCGACTGCTGTCCTCTCTCTCGCTCTCTCTCTCTCTCTCTCTTGCCTTCTCCCCCTTTTCTTGTCGCTTGTTTGACACTGTCAACAAGCAGCTGGAGGTGGCTGTTATTGTTGATGCCTCGGCAAAGGTTCCAGGTAATGAATAAAAGCGAGATGGAGGGAGAAGGAGGGAGGAAGATGAGAGAGCGGCAGAGATAGGAGGAGAGCAGGGAGGGGTGCAGGCAGATTCCCCTGCATTACACGGCAGCTTGACTGTGTCACCCATGTTYGCACTCTTTGTTGGTGAAGGTGAAGCCAACCCACACAAAACAGACTGATGTGTACGCACATCCACAGGTGCACACACTGCATGGAAATAGCTTTCACAGTGCACAAGAATAGGATCGTTACTACAGTTTGTTATCCTCCGGCGTTATACTTTGTTAGCATGATGGCAGAGCTATAACTGACAGTTTTCCAGTCACTTTTGTCAGATTTGAAGGTATCCCAGACCATAGATTATATTTAAAAGCTATTTTCATTTAGAAAACTTGCTAAAGTGATAGTTTGTATCTTGAAAAGTGGTGTTCTTAGGCATTGTTATAAACATGTAATATCTTAATTGTGTTCAAGAGTTTTTAAGTGAACTCAGCTTAAAGAAATGGTTTATTTCTGACCAGACAGACAATTTAACAACTACTGTAAAGTCGATTTCTGTTTTGGAACAAAACTCCTGTTAAAAACTTAATAAAGCTCAAATGTTATTTTAAAGAGGACCTATTATGGTTCCTTGAACAACTTAGGGATACATCTGTGGGCTATACAAAACATTAGATTTAAAACACACAATCATTTTCAGATAGTGAGAGTTCACCTGGTCTGTTCTGCCTGTTCAGAGCTCCCTTCAGAATGAGCTGTTTATGCAAATAGGCTGCTGTTAGCGACGCCCTCCCAACCTTTTGTTTACAATAGCTCCACCCTCCCTACACAGCATTTTTGTCAGCGCTTCAGATATGTGAAAATGGCTCATACAAAGAGATTCACAATGGTACAACAGTCGCAGGCACGCTGTGTGCAGTGCGGTCATCCCAGGCGAGGGCTTGGTAGGAAGATACTAGAGCGTCCGACTGAAGACTAAAGCTTTGGTGTCGGGGAGGCCAACACGCATCCATCGCCACTTCCCGAAGTGAGCAAAGATGAACTAAGGCTCCCAGGTCATGAGTCGAGAGCTATGGCGTGGGAGTCTCCAYGCTGTAGCCTCCTCCAGCCACATYGGCTGAAGATGATGGGCCGAGCGYGTGCGGCCACCCCAGACGAGGGCTTGGTAGCGAGACTGGTGCCGTAGGAGGCCAATGCACTTTGGTCACTGCTTCCCAAGTAAAGATGAGCTGTAGCCTGTCTCCAGGCTTGACTTTTTTTTTGATCATCACATATCATTTTAAAACACTAAACGTTTGATAAAATCCTTAACACCCGCATGGTGTGTTTTGCTATGATTTTGAACAACAAATGAATCGCTCCAGATATGTTTGACTAAAACCAGCTTGATGCAAAGTATCACATTGTGTATTCAGCTGCAGCGCCTTTACGTTTTCTGTTTTTACAGCTCAACAGTTTCTCTCCAGCTTGGCAATAAACCAGATTTTTGATGGCACGTCCCCTTCAAATCTTTGATTTGATTTTCCTATAAAAACCTTATTGGGTACTCAAGCTTTTTAGTGCAGCATGTAATTCAAGTTAGTCGACACCAATRTTCAAAAGAAAGAAAAAGAAGGAGAATTGTCTATTTTAAAGCAATGCAAGCCGACGARACTGGGCATTTTAACAGCTAAAATTCCATCATAATGCCAAAGGTTGGTTTGCATGATAAACGTAACATGCATGTACATTTGGTTGTTAAGTTTTACTGTTTAATATTGTAAAAGCACAACACATAGAATATGGGGGACTAATTCTATAGTAGAACACCAAAAAATATGACTGAATAGGTAAGCATCCCTTTTCTTTTACATATTTATCATCATATCCATTCTTCCTTATCTTTGTGCACCTGCACACTGTCACTAGTTTCAAATTTACCTTGCCCTGCCCTAATGCCTTCCTTCACTTCGTAAACTCCTCCATCATATAAGTGACACATAAATAAGGCTTTCTTATTTTTATCATCAACCCATCCAGCCACTGAAGCAGGAAAACCYCTTGTCTGCCAAGGCATGCTGTCAGCTTAGAGGTTACGCTCAATTCACTTTTGGGCACTCTTCCTTCCATGGTTTGTGTCTGTCTGCGTGTGCAAAAGTGTGTGAGTGTGTACAAGTGTGTGAGTGTCCAAGGGTCTGCAGTACTAACAYGGTCTCAAAGCAAACATGACAACCCTGCCTCACTGTGTCAATGTCAAGCCTGTTGCGACGCTTTGTGGAGCTCAGAGAAATTCATCTCCGTGTCGGGGTGAAGGAAAGAGAGAGTGGTATCTAAGCAGAGAAAGAGGGAAGTAAAATATATATATAAAAAAAGAAAAAGGAGGCGAGATCAATTGAGAATGAGCAGGGTTGGGTGAAGGTTCCAGGAAAAAAAGCCATCAAACTCCAGCAGCATGAATAAAYGTCATGTGTCTGGGTTGTTGGCAGAACAAAAACACAGGAGTGTCAGTTTAATCCAGTTTGACTTCCTGTCCTTTGTCTCCAGTCCTAACTGTCACACAGCTCCATCCAGCCAACTCCTTCTCCCCGCATCATGTCGAAAAACCAACTTATGGTCCTGAAAGTGACCACCAAGCAACAGCGTCTGCATCTGCATACACTGCCTGTGTTTGTGTACAAGTAAAAGTAAATGTTCTTATACCATTTATGTAGACAATTTTCCKAAGAGTTGTTTATTTCAGCTGTAATGCAGCCGTTACTCTAAAACAGAAAAAAAAAACGGTCTGTTGAGTAAAAAGGTCAAGGGAATACAAGAGCAATGGATAAAAGTGAGTGGTTGTATTTACAAGATTCTGGTAAATAGGTCTCAAGTGAGCTGAAAATTTACAGATATTGGTTGTTTTAGCCAGAGAACAGCTGAACAAGCACCTCACGTGTGCCCACACTCAACTCAGCACCGCATTATGTCATAAATCTTCACTAAATTTCATTTTGTCCTCTCTTTCCCCCCGCTGCAGTAAGAACCCTTCTCCGAAAGACGGTGCAGCCACTCCAGGAACCCCCAAGGTAAGACCGGCCTTGTCTTCGAGTGCGGTGTGTGTTCGCAAAATTGTGTTTTCGCAGTACATACACCTCAAATATTTAGTTTGTACTTTGTAATCAGTTGTCATCAAAGTGTGCTGCAGTTCCTCTGCTGTGAAATCAAGACAGATTCATTCCACTAAATCTTTTTTTTTTACACTGACCCCAGCACCATCTGCCAGAATAAAACCCTTTTTACACCTCTTTATCCAACATGTTGTTCTGTGGATAGTAGAAATGTTTAGCTCATAGTTTCATAGACAGTAATATTAGGAACAATCCATGGTTTCTACATATACAGTAATGTGTAAAAGTTTTAAACCACCCTTTATTTTTTTCTATTTTACTTCCAAGCAGCGAAACCTTCTGGTACTCTTTCATCATGGTCCTTATCGATCAATTTTCAAACTTTCTGAAGATATTTGGAAGTCTTCCTCTAAATTTTTAACTTGTTTTTCATCCCTTTACTGTCCAGCCCTCATCCCTGAATATGACAGCATGATCCTAAAAAAACTGCACTTCTCTGATCAGTCTCTATAGGAAACAGGGAGGTGAAATTAAGCAATGACCTGACACAATGCCTGACAAATATATCATCCTGCAGTTGATCATCTTCTGTTTCAACGAATAGGTTTTTTGTTGATTCAAACAATTCTATCTTCTATCTGTGGGACTGTGTTGTTTTTGGTGTTTTTATTGATTCAAATAAAAATGAAAACAAGTTGAGTTATTGTGACAAGCAGTTGGTAACAAAGTCCTTAAAGGTCCCATCTGAGATGGTTACTTTATTAAGCTTTTAACATGATGACATGACTTTTAACATGATGACACAACTTTTGATCATCGTTTGGGTTTATGGACCGTTTTATGTATAAATGATTCCAACTGTAGGTCAGAGTTAACATCCATTCATCCATCCATCCATCCATCTATCTATTTATCCATTTGTCCATCCATCCATCCATCCATCCATCCATCTGTTCATCCATCCATCCATCCATCCATCCATCCATCCATCCATC